TTATAATATTATTAAGGGGAGGAGCACATGGACTGGGATTTTTTTTTTGTCATGTTGTTATGCCCTTTTTTTCTTTTCTCACATTTTTTTAACATGAAACATGGGGGAAAGCTTTGAGGTTTGTCCACACCAAAAGTTCTGATGACCTCTTCATGAAAATACTCCATACCTAAGAGAAGGAGCTGTCTTTTGCAAGCCTGGTGACAAATTAGGCAAACTATAATGCAGAAAAATTATGGCTTACACATTGCCAGTAGCGTTTTCTTTGACTTTCAGGAAGCTCAGGTCTCTGGAAACTCTTTATTGGGAATGTGCATGGATACATCTGACCAGATTATACATATCCCAATGACACAGCAGGGTTGGGCATGCTGCAGGCAGAGGACCTGGACAAAGAGTGGTGTTTTCTGTGATTATTTCCGCTGAATCCTCCATGCCAGGTTCTGACTGGACAGTAGAGCTGAGAGCAGGAACCTGTATTGGGTCTCTGCTCTGAGGGACATGCATTGCCCTCAACAACGACCACACAGTAGGGAGGAGAAAAAAATCCAGATTCACATACAAAAGAGATGAAACCCAGGTCAAAGGCAGAAAGGAAAGAGAGAGTGTACCAAGAAGAGGAGAGGACAGTTGGGTACCTATAGGTATAAGGAGCTGGCAGACTGCTTGAATAGGGAGCATGGGATGAGACATAGGACCGGGACTGACTTAGACCCATAAAACTTCCCACACAAGAAGGAATGGGTCAAAAGACTGATCTGGGGCAACAAAAGCAAGGTGACCTACCTGTCAAGACAGTGTGCTGCAAGGGGGTCTGGGAACAGCTCAGCCAAAAATGTTTTTCAGGGGTCTGGGGAAAGGAGATGAAGAGTACTCCCAAATGTGACATCTGCAGCTGAGATCAAGGGGAGCTGTACTTGATATATACAGAACTGTCTGAGATACTCCACATGCCTAAAAATTGCATTCTCGGTTGTGTTGAATATTTGAAATCAGGATAAGCCATCACTTCCATTTAGCAGGAGTATTAGTGGTTTTCACACACTGCAGCAAAATTCCTCCTGCCAGGTGGGTTTGCTCAGGAACTATCCTCTTTATCTTTAGCACAGCTTTGTTTCACAGAAGGCTCAATTTGACCTATAGCAAATGTACAAAATTTTATGGTGTGGAAGGAATAAAAGTTTAATTGACGTGGGATTAGTCTGGCTTTTATTACTGATCATTGGAGAGACCAGAAGGACTTTATGTAGGTCATCCAAAACAACTCTCAGTGAATGCTTTTTCCTCTCTACATCATCATCTGTTTTGTTTATGCCATGCTACAGGCAACTGTTAATTCACACCCTTCAAAATGCTAAATGTTGCAATCCAAATTGCCTACTGGTGGGAACTGGACAGCTACACAGGAGAAAATGAAACTGCTGCAGTTTATAACCAGGTTTTTGTTGCATCCTGGGCTGGTGTCAGTTTTCATTTCAGTGGCTGAGTTGATTTTGTGCTATGAAACTTAACTGCGCACATCTGGGAAAAGGAAAGATGATCTGAAAGTTCTGAGTTTCTGTCTAAGCTGCTCAGTTCTTGTGGTGTTAGTGTGATATTGGAGCAGGTGACTTAAGCCTAGTGTCATCTCACCTCAACTTAAACACTTGATGAGAGAGCCTACATTATCCCTTTCCCCAAGATCTAACTGGCCTGTAGACACATGACACTGTTTGTTGGTGGGCTTTGATCTTTTTTTGATAAATAATCCCTCAGAAAATACTTCTGATCTTGAATTTTTAATCTGTCTCATCTGATATGAAGTCCTGGGTTTTGGTGGGAAGTGAATTGTTTCAGTGACACAGCAGTTTAGGAAAAAAACTAAGCCAATGACAGATTTGCTTGCATTAGGAACAGCCTTAGGAAGGGAGATTCATGAGCAGGGTCACCAGTTTGCCAGTGAAAGGTACAAGTTGTGTTGCCATGTATCATACAGGTCTGCCATCTGTCACAGGGATACAAAACACCTCATCTCACAGAAATATGTTAGAAAGTAGACCTGGAAGATCAAGGCTAAGTTATTTGTCTGACTAGTCTAGCTTCAAAGACTACTTTTCCTGAGATGGAGCCTGATCCCCTGCCACATCTGGTGTCCCAGAGAAATAATATAGTCCATATTTCTTTTATGTATTTGTCTCTTTGTTTGGGCCTTATGCATATCATAATTCATTTTTATTTTTTGAACCAAGTTCTGAACCAAGTTCTGAACCAGAGTTCATTTTTATTTCTGAACCAAGTAGCACCATGATGCTAATGAAGGCAGGTGTTGTTTCTCACAACAGTGTTTGCTAGGACAGTATCTACCCCACACAGTCTGAAAGTATTTTTCAGCTGTCAGAATGTTTCCTGGGGGTGACATTTCCCACATGCTAAGTGGGAAGTAGCCTTAGCATTGAAACTCTTCTAGAAGCACACAGTCTTGCTTAGCAGGGTACTTGCTTATGAGAGTACATGCTGTTTCTCTACAGCTGAGAAACTTTTGCTGGGTTGGGCATATCATTATCAATGTGATGGATGCATCCATAACGGGAAAAAAATCCACAATAGATTTTATCAAATCCAGCTGATATTGAAGTCCTTATTTTGATTGAGCACTGTATTTAAGCATCTGTTTGCGTAGATCTGTCAGCATTCCCATTATAGACACATCTTTTCAAGAAGACAGTGTGGGAGCAAACTTCAAACCAAGCTAAGAGTTCTTTGTCTTTAAGTAATGGATCCACATAATATGTGTGCAGTAGAAAAGACTATATTACAGAAATTTTACGTTCTCTCCTTCACCTCCATCACCAACTTTGTGATTTGGTGAGTTTCACCATTAAAAAGGTGCGACTTTTCAGAAGCTATGTCTCCTCCTCTTCTCTCACCCAGGGTTCAATAGTGGACAAAGCTGTAATTTAGCTCCAAATGTTATTCTTGAACTCATAATTAAATATTTTAGCCTCTTAGCTTTCAAGCCAAATGCAATCTGATAATTATTTGGTGACTGCCTGATTAATAACTGCTGTGCAATTAAAATCTTCTGGCCTGGTCATTTGTACTTTCAGAAGGATAGTAAGGTACCCCTAAAATGTGCATTGCTGTTGTTTTAACAATTTAAATTTCAAAATTTCAATAATCTTTTTAATAGTTCTTTTATGGGAACACTATTGTCCCTTTTCAAGGAGGAAACAGAAAGATATAAGATAATTTCTAGTCATTGTTGTAAATATTGAGTTTAATTCAAATATTATTTGAATGTGATTTTGAAAATAGAGTGCAGGAAAGCTGAATGATGGTTTGTGAAGCAGAAAGAATGAAACTCTAAGGATACATAAAAGAACTCCTGATTTCTATTCCACCTAAAAGAGATCTTGATATCAATAGAAGTTTTGTCTGAGTAAAGATTTGTGAAGATTCAGACTCTCATCTTTCTAATAGCAGTCCCTCTTGAGGGGTGTTTTAAGATCTGTGCAGAACAATAGCAGAGAAGAATGACAGCCTTATCCAAAACTCATTGAAATCAAATAGGTATTTCCATTATTCAGAAGAAGATTATAGAGTGATGTACAGGAAAATATCAGGAATTATTCCATCAGCCTTCACAGGAAAACAGTCAGTTGTAAGTATTGCTGTGGATGGCAACCATTATGCTTATAGTTCCAAGAACAACAGCTCTTCTTAACACAGAACAGAAAATACCTACATTTTCCTTTTTCTTTTTTCTTGAAGATGGTAAAATTACTACTTTATTCATTCTGAGCAGGAGAAAAAGATGTCTATAATTCAATAACCTTTTTAACTAAATAGTTTTGAGGTACACTGTGATTTTTATCAAAATTTATAAAATTCCTATATAATTTTTCTCATTTGCTGATGAATGTTTTACTAATTGGCTATTGTTCTCACAGGATGCTTTTAAGAAATCAGATGCAAAAATGATACTTTATCTGTAACCTACATTTTAGAGCAATAGATACTGAACTCAATTTCACATCTTAAAACCATGAAAAATTTTCATCTTCATAACATTTTGTTGCAGGTGTGACTGTTTTTTCCTTTAAAATTAATGCATTTTCAATATCCTAGCTAGATGTTTGGCTTTAAAATCAGAGAATCATGTAATCATAGAATAGTTTGATTTGGAAGGGACCTTTCAATGATCATCTAGTCCAACCCCAAAAATAATTAGTTTGGGAATGGAATTGGTCATGTGCATAGACAATTGGTCAGTTTTTCACTTCTACCTTTCCCTAGAGCTAAAGTTTATTCTCTTAAAGCTACCTGTCTAAGAGCCTTGGGATTAGATTGCTTTGAGATGCCCGTTTTGTCTTTGAAGAGGCTTGGTTTCCAAGGGAGCCAGGAAGTTATCTACCATCCTCCAGATTTCTCAAACTAGGTATCCAGAAGCATAAATCCCATTTAAAGGCTTACTTCTGGCACCTCTGCAGTGGAAAGAACATAAATCTCAAGAGAAGGAGTAATGATCAGTTAGAGATGTTACATTCCCAGCTCTCTGTCCGTGCTGGTAGCAGCAGTTCCTGTTCTCCAGCAGAGGCAGCAGACTGGGAATCTCTCAGTGCTGAATCTGCTGCTGAGTGTTGGCTAGTGGAGAATGTCTGTGACTAGTGTAAAACACTGTTTCTAGTAAGGATGAAATTATGCAAAACATTGGAACATTAACTCCTGGACTTGATGATTATTCAACCTGGGATTGGTCACTGGATCTTGAAAGTATGTAATACAGGTAATATAGAGAATATAGAGACCATAATAGAGTGTCCCATCTGCGTTATGAATTTACCTGCAAGCCCTTCCTTCTAATTTCTTGTGCAGTAACAAGGGAAACCTCAGGAAAACCCTGCTACTCTGTGTATTCCATTCCTCTTTGCATCATTCTGCAATTTCCCAGCCTCCTGGTTCTCTCTGATGTACTAAAATAATTACAAGGAAACGATGTTGCTTCCACTCTTTGCTTGCAGCTCCAGAAGCAGCTGTCTGAGCTGGACGAGGACGACCTGTGCTACGAATTCCGTCGGGAGCGCTTCACCGTCCATCGCACTCATCTCTACTTTCTGCATTACGAGTACGAGCCTGCTGCAGACAACACCGACGTGACACTGGTGGCACAACTGTCCATGGACAGGTGGGGAACACCTCTTGTTCATCTGGGACTGTGAGACAGCTTTTTATTACAGGGAAATCTGACTCTGGAGTGCTTTGGAGAGAGACGAAAAATGCATGTCCATAGAAACCTAGATGTTGTCTGTGCAGTGCACACACTGTGCTGCACTCTACATGAGTAGAGTTCATGAGAGGGTGACTCCTGGAGCTGAGAAGGTTGTTCTTTCTTGGGATTGTCAGGCATTATTAGTCCATGGAGTTTTGCAGTAACTTAGGAAAAAACAGATGTTTGTAATAGAATTAGGCAAGCAGTTGTAGCTGACCCAAGTTTTTGCATGTGTTTTTCTGCACTAGAAGATGTTATTTTTGCTTTCATTGGCATTTTCCTTGCAGAAAATTTCAATTAGTGATTTTTCTTACAGTAAGAATCAGAACTAAATATTCTAGTTTCAAATTAGGAAGTTGAAAATTATAACTTTTTTTTTACTGTGCTAGTGTGAAATAAAGAATTTCCATCTGAGCAGTCATTGCATCTTTATCCAAATGTTGATTCTCAGAAGAACATTTGGGCTTTTAGTTCTTAGGTGAAGTGGAATTTAATTTGGGGTATTTAGTATTTAATTTGGGGAAAAAGAAATCCATTTCATGACAAGTTCCACATATACCTTTCTGATTCCCACCATTGCAATTAGCTGAAATTTTTCAGAAGCTTTTTCTTCAGAAGAAATTTTCCAGAAAGTGCAGTCTGGATCAGCCAGTTTTGTGAAATTTTGTAATTGTCAGCTCTCTTTTTTTTTTCTCCAGCTTCTCAGTTCAAATCTAGTCCAAACTTTGTAGTTACTGCCATCATAGTGGGTTACAAAACAAATCAGAACTCGTTGAGTATTATCCAGAAACTCATCATTTCCTTGAGCATAGCACATACAGAATACGACATGGCATGTGAATAACACCACTGCTACACTAGTAGAAGGTCAGCAGTTTTCCAGGAGGGTTACAGGAACTGAGACAAACAAAACACTTACAGCCTGTTTTTAAAATAAACAAAAATGAATAAGGGGTATTCTGTTCCAGTGGTGCCTTGGCACTGCACTTTGTGTTATGATGTGCTGTGCACATCATTGTCTGTTCTATTGATTTTTAACTGAGGAAACATTTCTTAAGTGTTCACAAACCTTTGAGTAAAAAAATAAAGAAATAAATTGAACCAGACCCTGAGTGAGTGCCACAGTAAATTAGTAAAGCCGGTGTGTGCACATGGTATATTTTTCCCCCCAGAATTTAATTAAAAAGAATGAGCTGGGGCTCAGTGCTGATTCACTGGCACTGATGCAATGTCTGAGCATCTGTTTCCCTTTCTGGATCCTCACTGGGGCAGATGTTTTTATTGATAGACAGAACCACACATTTTTATTCAGGAAGAACAGCCGTCCTGGTTCTGTGCAGGAAAAATGTTCCCTACTTCACTGGTGTGTTGCTATAAATTATTGATTTGAGTTGGAAATACTTTCTTTCAGCTAAAATCAATAAATAATAACCTACCAAAGAACTGCTTAGCTGCTTTGTTTCCTTTCACATCTTTCTGTCACTGCCTTATCTTTTTCCATCTTCTTTAAACCACTTTTATTAAACACCTCTGGCACAACTGTAGGCATTTAAGAAGAGTGTCTCAGATGTAAGGTGACATGGACATAAACAACATGCTGTACACTACATTCCTGAATTATTCTTTGAAATTATTATTGGAGATGAGGAAAAGCAAAAAAACAACTCCAGCACTTCCCCTTGTCCTGTTGGAGGTGAGATTGACATGACTGTCATGACAGATTTAGGTTTACCTGTCCTGTAGGCTTGAGGAATGGAAGAGAGGGATGCATTCTGCAAGCTAACATTATTGTTTTAGGTGGAAGCTTTGAGACAGACTTCATTGAGGGTTGTTCATTATTGGGTAGTTGTCATTTATTGCAGTGATGTGACATTTCCTTGAATAATGGCTTGGTTGCTTCAGTGTGATTTTCATGCACATATTTTGGCTAAACAGGCTTTTTAAAGGCTCTGTATGTACCTGAGGGTCAGAAATCAGAGTAGGACTTAAAAAAATGTGAGGTCAGAATAGACAAAAGGAAAGACATGATTGGCAATACACTGCTTGAAATATGAGAATCTGAGAATGAGCTGGAAATCAGTTGAGTATTCTTAAGAAGAAAAATAAAAATAAAGAATCTCACAAAACAATTGAATTCCAGCAAAATTCACTTAGCTGAACAGACCTTTAAAAAATTTACCAACTGAATTATGGTCTCATTATTATGCAGTACAGCAGTACATTTGTTTTCTCTAGAGTCCTTAAGAGAACACATTTCCTCAAGTCCACTAAAAAAAACCCAAAATAAATTGGTCATGTTGTGCTTAGAAACTCATAATTCTAAGTTTTGTGGTCAAAAGAGACATAACAACTTATAGAGAGCAGATTATGGAGGATCACCTAGCAGTCCCTGTAGCATATTTATGGAAGTAGAGCCCTGTCAATGAGAACAACACAGTAAAATGGAGTATTCTGAAGGGTAGTAAGGTGTCCAGCTGGGAACTTGTACCACCAGAAGCCAGTTTCCGCTTCAGTATCATGAAAAGGTTTGCATTAGCAGGTGTGCTGTTTAAACAAGTTAAATATGCCCTTAGTCCACTGCATGGAGTCCTTCGAAGGCATTTTGCTGCATTTTTACTAGGCAAGTTTTCCATTTTTAAACTGATGCCCTAAATTGGAGTGCTGACAGATTGGAGTCTCCTGATTAGCAGATTTGTATTATGTTGGAAAGAGGCAAAAAAATGTATTTTCCCCCTATTTATTATTTGTGTAATCAAAATTCTGGACCCCTTACATACCTTTTAGATATGTTTATATTGATTTGTGTTTCAAATTCAGCTGTATGTTTCAGGCTGATAATAGCCTTTGTTTCAATAACAGATAAAAAGAAAATTATGTACCAAGTGTTGACTAGTAAGGTAATATCTCATATCTAAAAAAAAAATGATTATATCATCTTGGTATCATCACAATCATTCAGAAGGCAGACTGTGTTTACTGGTATGAGTATATTCTTTTTTTTTTTGCAAATCTTCGGGAGATAGTGGGAGGGGGAAAATATTTTCTCAGATTATGATAATGCAGAAATGCATTATTAATGCAGAAATCTTGCATTTTGTATAATATTAATAGGAAAAATTCAGTAATGTGGATTTCAGACAGAATGAAGATACTAATTTTGCATCATCTACTCTTCTCAGATTTTAATAGAATATCTGGCTAGGCTGCATAGGTCATTTCCCTTCATATTAAATCAAGAGGCTTTGTAATCAGTCCTTGCAGTACTTTTGGGTGACACATCTCAATCTCTAGGCAATAAATTACCCAAAATGTTTAAATGATTTTGACCAAGTTGGGTTTGATTTATGTTTGCAAATGAAATCTTTCCTTGTCATTTTCATCAATAGTATTGTAACTGCAGGATTTTTTTAAAAATATACATCAATACAATCTGTTTAAGAAATTATTTAATGAAATTTGAGACAGTGTGAACATACACAAGTTGGTACTTTTAATGATGGATTTCTCTGAAATGTTCTTTTGATATTCCACAGCAATGCCATGTCTGTCCTTTCTCCTCTCCTTACTCCCTACTAATAATAAATCCCATTTCTATCAATGTGTCACCCCTTCTGTCCTTTTCCCTGACAGCCAGCCTTCTTCTAGTTATTGCCCATTTTCACCTAAGGCAGTATCCCATTGACCTGTCTCTTTTAACAGCCTTTAAGATCTGACTAACTGCCTCACAAAAATTTGGGGAAGGTTTTCCTGACAGGAGGTAAAATGATCTGTGGGTCCATACACCTCTGTCCTCCACAAGCTTGCTGAAGAGCACTGTAGTGTGTTACTGTGTGGGAATAGCTTGACCTGAAATGTGAATTGGGCACTAGACAGAGTTGAAGTTTATGAGCCCTCTATCCTCTAAGTAGATCCACATGAACAGATCCTTGCAATTGCTCAAGCTCCCACTAGGTAAGTCCTATTATCCATGTGGATTTTCCTGTGGCATCAAAGCTTTAGACAGAAAATGATGGTGCTTTAGGTATCTGATTTAGGGCCATCTTAGGCTACATTGGATTTAGTGAGATTGGTGTATCCAGGGTGCAGTCTATCTGTCCAGGAGGAGACCTCTACTTTGCCATCTTAAATAATGAATTACACTGTAGAAATACTTACTGCTTTCCACAGCATATAAAGCATCCCCAATCTGTCTCACTTAGAGAAAGATCTCTGCATTTGGTCAGGTGAACACAGACACAGAGTCCCAGTCAGGGAAATAGCTTTTTCTTACTCTCACCCTTCCTCTTCCAGGCTCCAGATGCTTGAAGCCATCTGCAAGCACTGGGAAGGTCCCATCAGCCTGGCACTGTACCTTTCCGACGCGGAAGCCCAGCAGTTCCTGCGCTACGCTCAGGGCTCGGAGGTCCTGATGAGCCGCCACAACGTTGGCTACCACATCGTGTACAAGGAGGGGCAGTTCTACCCTGTGAACCTGCTCAGGAACGTGGCCATGAAGCACATCAGCACACCATACATGTTTCTGTCTGACATCGACTTCCTGCCCATGTATGGACTCTACGAGTACCTCAGGTAATGGGCAGTGAGGGAATTCCCACTGCCACCCACCGTTTCAGCCTCTGCACTCCTCCTCTCCACTGCCCTTCTCACATATTCCCAAAACAAAGCAGTTTGAGCAGATCTGAAAACGGAAGCTTATAATGATTCGAGGTATGACAATGCCCAGCAAAAAGCAATAATTTTTAGAGTAGAAGAAGGGACTGTAACTGGAAGGTAAAGCAAAATAGTTATCAAAGAAAAAACCCAGGTCTGAATGTGAGCCTTGTTAGCCATTAGAATAATCTCAGGGCTGCAGAGGAACCAATTTGAAAATTGAAATGGGTTAAGTATTATTAAATGTCCAAGAGCGTCGTTTATTAGCAGAGATGTGAAACAGGCAGTTTCTCTAAACATCTCTGGTTCTTAATGTCAGTGACAGAAAAACATGCAGAGCAGTACTGAACTTGTTGTCCGTGTGACACACTCTTAATTCAGTTCCTTATCTTGAAAAGAGTCTAACCAGCTCAAAAATATGACTGCAATGCCAGCACCTGTCAAGGCAAAGTAATTGTCATAAGGAAACTGGGAAGAGTAACATCAGTGTGTATTGTATCATACTGCATGTGAGCACGTTGGGCTGAGCAAACTACAGACTTCTGATCCATTAACTGAGCTTTTTTTAATTAAGACCTTTCTGCCCTGCAGAGGCTGGTCACCTGAGGCCAAAATATGGAGCAAGGAGGACACCCTGTGGCCAGACAGGAGGATGTCAGTTCCTTTATCCTGACCAGTTTAGCTTTTCATCTCTGTTCTAATTTGGTAAAAGTTGATCAAAGTATTCCAGTGAGGGCCTGCCTGTAGGTGTTCTCTGTCAGTTCATAAGCCTGGGGCTTTGGAGTGTAAAGGAAAATATGCCTTCTGGTATCATGAACTTATGGAGGAGTTTCTTTCTTTCAGGCTTAACTCTGTAAGACATTTACAGGGCCAAACTCACTATTCAGAGGGGTGTAGTACCTCTTCTGTGAGGAAGGGATCAGAGAGTTAAGGTGTTCAGCCTGGAGAAGTGAAGGCTCCAGGGAGGCCTTATTATGGCTTTCCAGTATATCAAGGGAGCTTAATAAGAAAGGTGGGGACAAACTTTTTTAGTAGAACCTGTTGAGATAGGACAAGGATAAGTGGTTTTAAACTGACAGAGAGGAGATTTAGATGAGATGCAAGGAGTAAGTTTTTTTGCAATGAGGATGTCAAAATGCTGGTACAGGTTGCCCAGACAGGTGGTGGGTATCCCATCCCTGTAAATTTTCAAGGTCAGGCTGGATGGGGCTCTGAGCAACCTGATCTGCAGGGAGGTTGGTCTAGATTATCTGTAAAGGTGCCTTCCAACCCAAAAAATTCTATGATTTTAGAAAAAGAGAAGTAGATCTTTCAAAAAACCCAGAAAAAGCTACTTGAAAAAAAAAAGAGCTAGATGACCTTTGGGTTCCAGCCCAAACTATTCTATGGCTTCCAAGATGCTGAATTTCAGTTGTGTCAGTGAAGTATTAGCACACTGTGTAAGCTTGTTTTCTTCTTACTTTGTTGAAGTCTTTTCAAGTTGTGCTAGGAGCACTCCAAAATTACCCTGTTCCTTGCCCATATTAGCTATCTCCAGATACGTGGATGAAGAGTTATTCTTCATTTCTCAATTCTTCTGTTAGTGTTGCACAGTGGTACAATTTTTCAGATCAGTGCTGGACACAGTAAGGATGGCAGCTGTTGATACTGGCATTGAGTACTAGATAAGGAACTTGTTCTCTCATGCTGCTTCACAGTGCACGAATGGGAGCCAGCAATTAAAGGAAGAAGAGAGGAGAGAAGGCAGAATGAAGTACCACCATTTCCTTGAGATATTACAACCATAGAAGTAATTATCATAAGGTGATATTGTATTACAGAACTAAGTGCACCATGATGGTGCATTGGTGATGTTTCAAAAAAAAGCAGAGATGCTCTCTGAGAGCTGCTGCCTCTGAGACTTTGTGTTACCCTGCCAACCTTTTTTAAGGCCTGTACCACCTCAGCTCTGACTGAGAGTCTCTCTTGCCTGGGAATATTGAAGTTGCTAATCTGCTACTACCAGCTCTTTAAAAAGTTATTGGATTGGTTTTTGGTTTTGTTTTGTTTTTGTTTTTTTCTTTTGCATGTGGACTAGATGCTTTTGTAGCTTTTTCTGTAACGATTTTTCTAAGCAAAGTAGCAGGGAGTTGCATTGAGATTATTTTAAATATGGATACCCTGTGTCTTTTTGCATTGACTGTTCCCAGTGCCTCTGCAAATAGCTGATTAGTGCTATCTGTCTGAATGGCAGCAATTGTTTGTTAGAGAGACGTAAAACATTTTTATCCTCATTTCCTCAGATAGAACAACCATAAACAAATGGAAATAGTGTAGTATTTTGGGCATCACTGTATAGAATAAGCCAGGAAAGTCCTACTCACTGAAAGTTTCCTGATTTACATATATTGCATATTATGTCTCTGCAGATCATATATTCTCAAAAAGAAAGAAATTTCAAAAAATATTTTCAACTTATTTTGAAGGTGTCATATGATAAAGGTTACAACCAGTTTTGAAGGAGAAGCTGATGGAGCTGATGGTTACCTATCCCTTTGTTTATCTGTTGCTTTGCACTTAGATTTGTGCTAATTGAGCTTTTTCATAGCTGCTAAGTAAAACCATTTCAATGTTTTTATCTCCATCAAACACCCTTTTAGTCCTGCTTTAGTCTTCTGTGAAGTACAAAAGGAAATGTATAATTTAAAGATTTCCTGTTTACCAGTAGTTACTGAGGTCACCTTGTCAGTGCCCCAGAGGTAAAGGCTTCTTCTGGTAGCTGCAAGTAAGGTGCTTGGGTCATCCTACAGTGACTTGTAACACAAAACAGTGAGACAGGCTGCTTATCTACAGCTGTCACAGCTAGCATTGAAGTTCTTTCCTAACACATTTGTGTAAAATGTGCCCTTGGCTTCCAGTGACACATTTAGCATGAATTGGGACCCAGCATCCCAGCTCCATCCATGGGTTTTGTATCTGTCCCCTACATCATGAGTTGTGAAGTAGTTCTGCTTATTTTTCAGCATCTCAGCTAGGGAGATAGTTCAGATTGTGTCTATTGGGGTTTTTGTTTTGGTTGCCTTTGTAGTCCATGAATTCGTGTCTTCTGCAGAGAGGAAGAGCATTCAAATGAATTAAACAGTGGTTGGCAACTCTCCATTTCTGACCACAAGCTCAATGACTGACATATTTGTAACTTGCAACCAGCTACTTTCCAAATCCTGATGATGGACTTTTTTTCTGAGTGTAGTGCTTTAGGATTAAGTTGCTAGCTTTTCTCTGTCTGAGCTTCTCTATCCTCCAAAAATGGGAATGATCTTGCTATCTACTAATATGAGGATGAGAATTCTGTGTTAATTTTTGAAAATAACAATGCAGATTAGAAGACTGATATCAGCATGCTGGAGTTCATTCAACTGTGACGAGACTCTTGTGATTTAGGATTCATTTCTTCACTGCTTTGTGAAAAATATTGTTGATTAGATTTAAAATTTAACCCAACCTTCACTGTGTCAGAATGACACACATAGGTCTGAACACAAAGATAGCTGGGAAATGGTTTCCTGGACAACACTAGCACAAAGAGAGCTAGCTCTTCATAGTCATAAATCCTTATTTTGGGGTTTTGGGGAAAAGGATAAGAAAGGAAAGTGGATACTGAATCAATACTACTGTATCCAAAAAAACAGTCCTCATCAGGATAGTGCAAGAATTACCTAATTTACCCAGTGCTAGCTTGCAAAATAAGCAAATGTATTCCCTACGCTATATTCCAGATATCTGGCAGCATCAACAAAATTTTCTTATTCCCAAATGAACCAGCCAACAGAACCAACCAACCAACAAATAGCACCTCCACCCAAAACAGCAGAAAAAGTCATCCCACAGAAAAATGAAAAGGTAGATTTGCTTCCAGTAGGAAGAAGTTAGAATTTCAGCTGGTTGTCCAAGGAGCAGACCACTAGCCAAGTTATGAGAAGAAAATAGAGGGTGTTTTTTTCTCTAACAAGTCCTCTCTGCCATTATCACAGTTTAAATGGCTTCTCTTGTCCTTTGTCTCTGAAGTTCAACATCTGGATGTCAGCAGTGATTTCTTCGTCCCTTTGCATCAGTCTTTTATGTCACAGAGTCCACCTCAAGGGCAGGTGATTCTACTCAGATATCAGTGCTGCTGGGCTTCTTGTCTATGTGCCTCAACTCCCAGCTTCATTTTGGAGAGCCCTCCACTTTGACCTTACCACCTGCACTGGTTGTGGCTGAGCTGGAGGTCTTTCCCCGTGTGAGGGTAGCATCCCTCACAGTGCTGTGCTTTGCCTTGGTAGCTGGGAAGGTGCTGATGACACAGCAGTGTTTTGGCTACTGCTGAGCAGTGCAGGCACAGCATCAGTGCTGCCTCTCCATCATTCTGCCCCCCGTCTGGGAGTGGGCAAGATCTTGGGAGGGGACAGAACTAATACAGCTGAGCCAAACTGAACAGAGAGAATCCATGCCAAATGGTGTCAGCTCAGGTAGATATAAAAGCTGAGAAAAGGAGAAGGAAGGCAGGACATTTGTTATTTAGAATGTTTGCCTTCTGCAACAACCATTATGTGTGCTGAAGCCCTGCTTCCCAAAGTGGCCAGACATCACTTGATGGGAATCTTCTATTTCTCTCTTTGTTGGTGCATACTCAGCCTTTTGGTTTTGTTTTAGCAAACTGCCTTATCTCAACATACAAGTTGTTTTCCATCTTATTTTCTCTCCCATACCCAGCAGAGAAGGAGGGCTGAGAGCAGCTTGGTGGGCACTGGATGTCCAGCCAAGGTGAACCGACCTTACCAACATGCACTTCATTAAATATTTCATGCATCTCTTGAAAATATTTCTGCAGAGAATATCCTGCTATTTTTTTTCACTTTGGAAGTATCTCCACATCTCTGTGGTTGCCTGAATGCACCTCAAGTATCTTGTTTCCAGACCTCTGTTTCTCTTCACTTACCTCACTCTTCATGTTTACCTCTTGTCAGTGCAAGTGATTTCAGGCTGTTCTGTCAGTTTTTTTCCCTCTGCTTTTTGATTTCTTCATGCAGGTACTATCATTTTTTCCTTCTAATTGTTCAGGCATTGACAACTGTATGAAATTTGGAGGTGACAGGAGCAGCAGAGAATGTGCAGAAAAGATCACTGGTATCAACAGCATTTTTGTGGTTATATCCCATATATTAGAGAATAAGTCACATTCAGCACTACATTCATCACAAGTTGCTCTGTCTGAAAGTTTCTGCTGTTACTTGTGCTTCATACCTGTGCCTGCTGCAGCTTTGGTCAGCTTCAGATTGTAAACTTTGGTGGGCAGGATTGTTTCCTACTCTTGGACAGTGCAAGCACAGCAAGGCCTTGAATTTTGCCTGAGCCTTTTGAGCTCTCCATAAAACAAAGTTATAGTAACAGCCATAAATGGAAGCTGCTGTTTCCTTGCAGAGCCCAAAGGATGAGCATCACTACAAATGTTACCTGCTCCTTCCTAGAACTGAATCCCCAAAACTGTACTGCTCAAGGCTGATAGATAGCACAGAGACCAGAAAGACTTAGATTTTGGAAAGGAAACTGTATTAGTATCCCCTGCTCTCAGAAGAGTGAAAGGGAAGAAACATTTAAAAGCATCATAATGACTGTATACTGGCACTGCTTAACAACTTTGGAAGGTCACAACTGCTGGTTGTGAAGGATGCGTCTATTGACATGTAGGTATCTTGGCCTCTAGTGATGGTGAGGGAGAAACTACAAGAAGAAAGTACAAAACCATTTATGATAAGATGCTGTTAAAATCCTTCATTTGTGAAAAGTTAACTGGAATGGGTCAGGGGCTCTTTAAACAATGCAAACTTTGCAGTAAGGAGCTGAAAACAGATTGCTTAATATAAAACAGGCCTATAGGGTGGTATAAATTTCCTAAAATTCAGATTTTATGAAGTAGTTGTGCTCATCTTCATTTTCTGTGACAGCAGTATAAATGAATTCTAGGTATTCTGGGCTTAGAAAAATTGTTTGTTTGGTTCTTCTGTTATTAGGACAGTGATCCCAATTCCTTCAACTTAAAAGGCTGTAGAGAGTTTGCTGCTTGTCAACATTCTCCTTGATTGCTTGTTGCAGTAACATAAAAGTCAGGACAGTGAATCCTGTTAAAGGGAACTGACTTTGACAGGGAGAGAGGCATATTTCTGGTATGAAATATGGAGATAATGAAATAAAAATTGAGACAGAGTTATTTCTAATGACAGTTATACTAAGATTCAGTTGGGGGATGGAAAAGTAACTTCTTTTTCTTCGAATTTTAGTTTGTTAGAAAAAAATAGGCTGAACACCTCTGGCAGGCAGGATGAGAGATTGCTAAGCTGCTCCTCTGCTGCAACAGTCATCCCAAGGCCCCTCCCTGGAAAAGAGCCCTGTGTTAAATTCATATGTGCACACACACTCACACACCAAAACAGTCTGTGCACTGAACAACTTGCAGCAAAAAGAAGGAAAAAGAGAGGCATCCCAGTCCATTCAAGTGTAGAGCACCTCTCTGCTCCCAGCAGTCTGATCAGCACTGATTAGTCAAACACACAAGCTCATTTGGAATTCTGTTGCTCTCCCTGCTCTTAGAGCAGCAAACCAAAAGGAGAAGAAAATTTGAAACACCTGTAGGAAAAGAAATGGGCCATAGTTACATTTATAGTATCCTAACTACCCGTTTTTTGCACTTTATCTTGAAAAGCTCAGTGATTTGCTCATTTGAAAATTTTCCTGGTTTTATTCGTTGTTTCTCTTTTGCCAGGAAGTCTGTCATCCAGCTAGACCTAGCTAACACCAAGAAAGCTCTGATTGTACCTGCCTTTGAGACCCTGCGCTACCGCCTCTCCTTCCCCAAGTCAAAAGCAGAGCTGTTATCTATGTTGGACATGGGAACCCTCTTTACATTCAGGTAATGGAAAGTACTCTTTAACCTGTGGTAATTACCTCTGGTTATGTTCTTCTGAATATTTGGTCTCTTTCACTGTCAGCTGCGTTAAGAAACTCATTGGAATTTTTTTCCCTTTTCGAAGAGAGGCAGTGAACAGAATCATGTGGATATATTCTGTCTTTAAGCTCAGCATTTTATCTTGTATTACAGTCCTCTACTGAAGGACTTCAGTTGTTAAATCAAATTTGTTTTATTTTCATCATTTTTTATTGCACTACAAAAAATCAAGCGTGACCATTACACTCAAGTGCATGTAATTTATGTTTTGGCTGCCAAATACTATCTGTGTAGCTGTGTCTTCTCATGTGACCACAAGTAATGTATCTCTGCCCATTGGTTCTCTTCCTCACTGGAAAAACAAACACAGGCTTGTCTTATTCTCTTTTAAAGTGTGAAACAGCTGCTTAAATACCTAGAGTTCCTCCATGCAGAGGTAAGAGAGTACTCTGACTAGAGGCTAAGAAGCTAAGAACACCTAAATTTGGAACTCCTCTCTGAAGCAGACTTCTTTTGTGGCTGTGAACAAGTCACTTCTATTACCTGCCAGACTCCTCAGTTTTAAAATGCAGCTAGCAGGGGTTAACCATCTCTTGGGTGTGTGTGGTAAGGTCTGATTAGCAGACATTTGTAAAGCATCTCAGCAATGGGAAGAGTACAATATGGCCTTATGATGTTGCACAGAGAGGGGGCTTAGGAGACTTGCGTTCTCTTCTCAGCTCCACTGCTCCCCTGCTGAGAGGTGCTACACGAATCACTTTGCTTTCTTACATCTCTGTTCCCCTTCTCTGAAATACAGGTAACAATGTTCACCTCTCCTTTTTGCAGTATTTTGAGATCTGAGATAAAAGCTATGAAAAAGCTAGGCATTATCCATGGCTGGAGGAGCTCCATATCATACCTCTCTCATCCTTCTCTTACTTTAGAGCTTTCCTCACACTTTTCTCATTCCCTATATTACACACCTCTCTCGTTGCAGCAGCCACCCTTCCCTCATGTGGTTGCATGCACATACCATAGCAGACAGCCTGTGTGAGTCTGAAACACATAATTCTGATCAGTGTCAGAATTCCACCAATAACTGCCTTGAAACAGAAACTTGAGGTGATTGAGAGAGGCATGCCTCTGGAAAGTTACTTAAGGATACTGATAAAGCAAGTACTTTTCCCTCTGCCATCATTCTTTAACATACAAAAGACATAAAAATTAACAAGAGATCTGATAAAAAATAGTTTCCTCTTCCATAGTTGAGAGAAAAAGTCTTTCCAGTGGAAAATAACACCCTCAGGATTTCCAGATGTCAGCAGTCAGCTGCACAGTGGTGGCCTTCCACTACAGATTTCATCTCCAAGCTAAACAGCATGTTGGTGTGTTACATACACAGCTGGATTTGCAAATCCTTTCTCAAGTTTCACTCAGGCAAAAATGTCTTTAACACCAGTGGGAGTTTTTCCAAAGCAAGGTTAAGTAAGACTTGACGGACATGCAGTCTGTAGCTGGTGTACATATTAATGTAGGATACATTTTACAAATGCTTCCTCAGTTTGTTTTGGCTCATTTCATTGCTCAAATCTGTAGACAGCCACAAAGCATCTGGGCTCTCAGCTCTGGGCTGAGAATTTCCACCTCCACCTTCAAGGTGCTTTAATAATGCTGCAATTGGCTGCTGAGCAGGTGGGAGTGAGCTGGGGAGGACTGGTGTGACAGTGATTGCTGAGAGTGCCTGCAGCATCCCAGTCCCTCACACCACATGGTAGATTACAATCTTTCCCTCACCGAAATTGCTTTTGTCACCTCTTTTTGAAATGACCTTTTCTACCTCTGGGCAGCTAAGAAGTACACAACGGCTCTCAATTACATCCCTCAGTCAGCAGCAGAAGAAAAGAGAAGACAAGTGAGCATCTGTGGCTGGCAAGGTGTGCTGTGTGAAACCCTGTGCCACAGCGGGGGCTCTGTGCCAGCTCGCTGGCTCCCTTGGCAGCTGCTGGCTCGGAGTGTGCTCCCGAGGATGTGCCTGCTCAGGGCCTGGCTAGCAGCTGATGGGCACACCCAGGCACAGGGGAAACCACAGCTGGCAGGAGACACATCAGCGTAGTGAGAAAACATAAAAACCAACAACTGATTAACTAATTAACTGATTGCATCCACAATCCAGCAAAATGTTGAAGCATCTGGGAACAGAAGTGGGAAAGTTCTTCTTTCATTCATCTCTCTCACTGAAGTGGGAAACTTAGAGGAGGCAGGGAGGAAGACTATTCTGAGAAGAATAACTGCTTCATTTTGCTAACTTTAGCAAAATGAATTTTTATTCTAAATAAAAGCAATCAGGAACACAAGTAAAATGAAGCATTGGATCCAAAGTGGAGGAGGAGGGGATGTGGTGTGTTCCAGTTGTTTTCCATGAACCATGGGAAAGAAATTCATTGTGATTTTAGGGAGATTGAATTACTTGGTTTGGATTTGTCAAAAATGCAAGCATAGTGAAAAATATGTTGTTCCCAATTTTCATAAAGTACTCGAGGGATTGTCAGATTGAGTGTGGCCTTAAAATTCAATGTGTATTTAAGTCTTGAGTGAGGAGGGCCTGAACAGAAAATTGCATTTATTCATTTGTCCTGTAAGATGGAATACCGGTATAGATAGTGAACCTCTTCTCACAACTGCATCACCGATAGTAAAGTCTGTTGGAATGACTCATCCTTTGATGGGAGCTTCCTCTCTATGGACCTCCGCAGAATGGTGTCTGCTTCTCTTTCTTTGCAGTACAGCTCATGTAATCAGCCATTGACCGAGACCTAGTTCCAGCAGATTATCTGTGTATGAACCCATATATATTGTATGTACACATGTAATCCAACAATGCTCTCACAATTCTTTTAATGTTCTCACAATTAGATTGTTTTCAGTCTAATTACTCCTCCATCACTATTGTGTGTACACCTCATTTGAGCATCCAATATTCATTTACCTCTTTGTCAGGACCTTAGCTGTCCTTTTGTCTTTCTCTTTCCTTCTACTCACATCAATCAGTCTGAAGAGGTAAGTAAAAAACTTCTGTTGTTTTTTCGTTTTGTACTATCAAATCTACTCCTTCCTTTCTGGGTTTTTTGGTTGGTTGTTTCTTTTTTTTTTGTCTCTGCAACCCCAGTTCCATATTTTCCCTTTATTATCTCTTCCCAATTATTTATTTTGCCCTGCTAGTTGGCTGTCTTGATCCACAGAGGTTATACTTGAGCTGCTATAGGTGCTTACACTGATGCTTCCAAAAAACGTGGAAAGAAATTGAATTATTTTTATGGTTAGCATCTTGTTACCCCCTGTTAAAATCAGTGGGAGAGTGTTACTAGAATAACAGCAGCATTTGGCTGCTTCTCTGCAGGAATCTCTCAATTAACCAAAGTTTGTATGGGCTTTGAAGATACAAATCACTTCATAAGTGTTTAGCAGTCATTATTATTATTATTATCATAATTAATTTCAAAATGCCGGAGGTAGGATTTTAGAAGATACAGCACCCTCCACAATCTTATATAATTTTAAACCCCACATTGTGACTGTTGGGTTGGGGTTTTTTTCCAGCATAGATAGCTGCACATTCATGACTGGCTAGGTTAGCCACTCATCTCCAAAAGAGGCCAAGAAAAGGGATAGGCTTTTTGGCAATGATTCCAAAGGGCATTAACAGTTATAAGCATCTTTGTGAATCTGGCACTGCTTGCTAATAATCTCTGGAGAATTATTTCACTGTCAGTGTCATTATTTCACTGTTTTTTAATACAAAAGGGTTTTGTTTCTCCTGGTCCCTAAGTGAGATATCTGAGAGTGGTAAAACCTATTTACAGTTTAGAAATGCAGCATACAAAGGACCATACATTACTTGTGACCCCAATGCCATGGTAATAATTCAGTCTTCCTGCACTTCCCCTAAAGAGAGAGTCAGCAAAGATGAACACCTCTGATTCTCCTGTTACAAGCCATACAAATATGTCCAAAAGAAAACTCCTAGGCTATGATTTTATATTCCTGTTTTTAGCAATGGCTTACAATGTTTTGAGAATTTCTGGGATTTAAGCATTACATCATGCGGTAATTTTTCAATATTTAATGCTCAAATCCCTTCACTTTTAGCATATGAGTCATCCCTGTGAATTCAATGTACCTTACTTTACAAATTGGCAGGATATTTGTTTTGTCCCTTCTGTTGCCTATCTATCTCAGTGTTGTAATACAGATACCTGCTATTCCTTTGTTTCATTAATTAATCTGTGACTCTGCAGAAAGAGCTTGTCTCATTGATTTTTGGAAAGTGTTAGAATAAGTGAGCGAGAGAGTCATTGACCCTGGCACTAATGGGGTGCATTCAAGCTGTGCTAGGAGACCTGCTGTGACCTAAACTAGATTAGCAAAATATAAAAGGATCTTCTTCTGTAAATCAAATTGATTACCTTACTGAAGATCACAGGAGTACTCCCCACAATGTAGAACTTAGAGCAGAAAGCCTTTATGTAATATTTTACTTATTAATGTAATTATGCAGCTTGGTTCCTGCCATAGTAATAACCATAATTAATAGCATAGAACATCTCTCCAGAGCTGCAGGTGTCTCTCATGCAAATTATAAAATTGCCTATAAAACAGATCGTGAATATCACCATGGTGGGGAAATAGCTAATTTTAGGGACTTTGTCTGAGCTGCAGATTTCCACACAGATTTTAGAGCACCGCCTGATGCAGCTGCTTGGTTGCTAGGAATAAGACACAGCCCTTGTAGTGCAGATGAACTGACAGGGTACTGTGTAATGGTTTCTCACATTAGCATGAGGTACTGTTTTCACACTATCCTTCACCAACTAGATGTGTTTAAGCATTGAGCTCCGGGAGGCGTGCTGGAAATAGTCCTAGAAATTGCCTCCGACGCGTCCTGAAAATGATGATGTGAACTGTAAGCTAACGTCCTTATTTTTGAGCATTTCATCTAACAGGTAATATTTTGTTTCCTTGCCAAGATGCTTTCTATCTAATTGCCTCCCCACGTCCCTGCCGTTTATGTCTGTTTCAGGTACCACGTCTGGACGAAAGGGCACGCGCCAACAAATTTTGCCAAGTGGCGAACAGCCACCACTCCCTACCGCGTGGAGTGGGAAGCAGACTTTGAGCCATACGTCGTTGTCAGGAAGGACTGCCCGGAGTATGACAGGCGCTTTGTGGGATTTGGCTGGAACAAAGTAGCTCACATCATGGAACTGGATGCACAGGTGAGGAGGTGACACATGAGTATCTCACTAGGGCTCTGCAGCAGGGTTGTTCCAACCAAGGCTGTGGCCTGAAGGAAGGCGTCACGCTTTGCATCACCAAAGTGTTCATCTGGCCTTACTGAGCTCCTTAATGAGCACTCCTTGAGTTGGGAACACTCTGTTTAATGCTTGTCAAGTATTGAATGAAGAGCTGAGTCTGAGTTCATTTATTTGTCAGTTTTAAGAAATCCATTGTTTTGCACAGGCACAATCCCTGTAGTGCTTTCCTCCTGACCGAAGCATTGAAGCAGTTGTTGCCAATCCGATCACTTATTAAGGAACATGTAGACCTAGCTGGATTTTTTCCATTAAATTGAGGTTTGTGAGTCCCAAATACTAATTTACAATTCAAAAACTAATCTTCAGTTGAATTCAAGGCAAGCATCTTTAATTTCTGGCTGGAATTTACAGCACATTTCTGCAAAGATGGTCTTTACATTTCCAAAGTCTGGGGCTGTGGTGCTGACTCTAAAGGATGCAGGTACTTGAGCCTTGGGCTACCTGCTTCTTGGATCTGTGACTTGGGATGAAGCTGCTGGGCAAAATTTATAATAATAAGGATGCAGAGAAAGCTCAGGAGTCCCAGACTGGCACCACAGCTCTCAGAGTTGCCAAGGTCCCTGCTGCCAACCTAAATCTTAGAGGCTGGCAGTGACTATGGCTCCATGGGAGCCCAGTGCTGCTGCTCACTGAAATGGCAGGATTTGCATCACCCTGCTGTTCTTGGATGAGGAGCTACCCACTGTGCTCATCAGTAAGGTCTGGGTCATGGCATTTCTTTTTAGTTTGGGTTTGTTGTAGTTTTTTTTCAGTTTGGTTCAATCCCAGTGTTTGAACTAGTAGCATTTCATGCTAACCAAAAAAATCAGTTTTGGTGATCTTTATCCTCCTGTGATAGCTTCTGCTGTCAATCTGGAATAAAGCAGATCCTTCTTTGCTCAAGTCTTACCAGTTTATGTGAAGCAGAGCAGCTCAAGGCTTGGAGCAAGTTAGTGGGAAATTTTGTCTCTGGGGTGTGGGCTACAGTGTATTTGTGTGCAGGCATGTGTGGGAAGGATATTTTCTACTTCTGCTTACAAAACCACATGGTCACCTTGGGCTGGCAGCCACTTGCCCTCTGTTTGCCAAGGTCATTCCCAAGAAATTTGTACCTACTTACATGACAAAAAATTATTACAGACTAGAAAAAACATTTTCCCTTATATTAATGTTAATAATACTTTGCTATAGCACTGTGATTTTCTAATGCACTTTCCAAGCACTAATTAATTAACCATCAGTTGTGGAGAGTGCCAGGCTAATGGTTTATTATTTGTTAATATGGGTTACAAGGCTTATGTTCCCAGCGGCAGCTCTTATGTAGCATTCAGGATTTAACTCTTCTGTTCAGAGGTGTCTGCTCAGCACAGAGATTCACACATGGGAAATAGAAACAGTTTTCAAAGTTGATCATAGTGCAATTACTTTAAATGACCATTGGGTTGGAATTAACTCTGGGAAATTGTTCTTCTCACTCTTCCAGCGTTGAGCACAGTATCACATTTAAAGGAAGCTTCCTTTTCCTCTATAGCAATTTGGATATTGGCAGGTTCTCCCACAAATGAGCCTAGAGGAGATGGGATGGCACAGCTACCTCCCCTGTGGCATTTCTCTGCTTTGGGGTGTGCACAGATCAGGTTGCTGCCAGCTGCTAGGCTGGCTTCATTACCAGCAGGCAGAGCAGCTACTCAGTTATTTCACTGCTCCTCATGACTGCAGTGTCTGTCAAGAGGTCTGTTCCAGATCCCTTTCCAAGAACTTGTGCCACTGCCATCCCTCAGAGCAGGACATGGCATGGAGATAATCATCATTGTTATTCTGGGAGCATGCAGGTGTCCACTGAGCTGGATGCTGTACAAATGCACAGATAATGCTAGTCTCCATCTAAAGAATTTGTAATCTAGGAGCTAGGGACAGAGGTTCCTGCAAGTGCATTGCCTTCTCAACAGAGGCTTCCATGCGGTAGGGCAAGGTCATTAGGAAACCTTTCCCTACCTTTCCAGTGACTGTGCTAGACTGTAAGTGTCCCATTTTCCAGGACCCTAGCCCAGCATATTTCAAAGGGGATTATTAGCAGTAGACTCACAGTTTTTGAAAGGCTTTATTTGTCTGAAGGCCATTCAGAGGGATGAGAACGCTGCTGTGCTGAACAGCTAGCACTGCAGAGTGTAGACAGTCCCTGACCTGCAGTATGACAAACTTGAGATGCAAACAGAGAACAAAGAAAAGGTTGTATGAGTGGAATGCATCTTCCTTTGCAGCTCCAGCCCGTAGTTTTAAGGTTCTTTAGAGTAATTTTCTGTAGTTTGTAGTTTATCAGCTCTCCTCACTCCATGGTGCCAGCCTTTGGTTTCACATTTGGTTCCCCATTAGTCCTAAGCATCTTCCAGGTGCATGAATTCTGCATGTCAGCATCAGATTATTTTGCTCTTGCTATACATTTTTCACCCCAAACAGAATCTCAGAGGACCCCATTCCTGTATATGATAACATTGTAAATTGGCACAAAGATTTACCACTTTAGCACTGTCTGTCAGGGTGCAGGAATTCTTACAGGGAAACAGGAGCTGCATCTGCACTTAGCTGCACATACAGGTGAAACACTCAGGTTTATCAGCACACGTGTGGTTTTTTCCCATAAATCTCTACTAAAATATTTTGGAGTACTCTGCCTTTCTGCAGCAGATATTCTTTGTCTCTCTACAGACTCCTAAATCTACAAGTGACTGGGAATTACAAGCTAGGGGGTATTTTGCACCACTTCCTGTAAAGGCAGCATGCTCTTTGGCTGTTCCTTCCCTGGCCAGTTTCTTTTGTTGATGGGTTAATGAGTCCATCCAGCAACAGCTGCAGATAGAAACCATGTGAGAAAATAGGAAATTTGCCTGTGCAGGCTTCAAAGTTTCTTTATCATTTGCATCCAATACAAAACTGACTTCTTGAAATTCCATATGAAAAAAGTGATTAGGGTACTTCATTTGGGTACAGAATAACAAGGTTCATATATCTTACCCAGTTCCTTGCAGAAGATACCTGCTTGTTGCATATCCTACACTAGTGAACTTTCAGCTTGTCTAAGAATCAGGCCTTTTTGAGCTTTGCTTTAATCCTCATATATTTACCTGTAAATCCTCATTTATTTACTTGTAAAAATTGAAAGAATCTTACAGGAATAATGGAGACTTAAATCAACCATCATTTTTTTAACAACAAAAATTGTCAAAGAACTTGGTCAGATATAAAGAGAATAAGTGAAGTAGTTTTACATGAGAAGGAGAGTTAGCACAGTATCTCAAACTTTGTGAGGAAGAACTTAATTGAGTAAAAATGTCTCAAAGCATATGGAATTAGCAGGTTCATTTTCACACATTGCCTATAAATGACACCCTATTCTCCCCTTATTTCAGGTTTGTAAATAATTTTGGGCAGTTTTGTCTCCATAAGTATCTTAGCATATAGGCAAAGCAACATATGCCATGCAGTTTTGCCTTTGTAAATGTAGCTTATTCCATTATCCCAAGCAAAATAAATTTTAGGGGCAAAGCCATGTTTTTGCATGGACACTTAAGACTAGCTGTGTACTTACAGCTGTGTTGTTGCAATCACACTGCTGAAAAATCTGTGTGGCAAACATGGCTTCAGGTGTGCCTTTTTTACTATTTCGCCATTATTTGGCTTATATGGGGTAAAATGTTTTAAAATAGCTGGGGTTTTTTTACCATGAGGGTGGAAAACACTGGAGGAGATTATCCAGAGGGGATATGGACCCCGCCTTGCTGGAAACCTGCAAGGACAGATTGGATGGGGCTCTGGCAATATGATCTAGTTGAAAATGTCCCTGCTCATTGCAGGGAGGTTGGTCTAGATTGTCTTTAAAGGTGCCTTCCAACCCCAAAAACTCTATGATTTCACAAAAAGATTACGTAGATCTTTCAAAAAACCAAGAAAACGCTACTTGAAAAAACAAAGGCAGTTTGTTTGAGATCCCTGATGGGTTTGCTGTTCCTGAGACACAAACGGCGCCGTTCGGCGCTGGAGCATGTTTGGCTGAGGAGGAGCCTTGTGGGAGGCGGGGATCCCCCTCACAGCCATGTCTTTGTCCCGCAGGAGTACGAGTTCACGGTGCTGCCCAACGCCTACATGATCCACATGCCGCACGCACCCAGCTTCGACATCACCAAGTTCCGCTCCAACAAGCAATACCGCATCTGTCTCAAGACGCTCAAGGAGGAGTTCCAGCAGGACATGTCGCGCCACTACGGCTTCGCGGCCCTCAAATACCTGACGGCAGAGAACAACAGTTAGCAGCGTGGGGCCCCTGCCTGGCCAACAGGGACACTGAGGCAAGAGCCGCTCAGCGTTTGGGGCCTGGCCTTCAAACTCCAAACTGAGAAATACTTTCTGTTTTTATATCATACTTGGCAGTTCTAACAGTAGAAATTTGAAGTGACATGTCTTCGGACGATGCTCGTTCATCCCTTCCCCGACTGCCCCGGCTCTGTCAGCTTCAGCGTTCGTGAGGCACGTGTGAGCGGGGCCGGCCAGGCGCCCTCTGAGCCACCCAAGGTGGGACTGGGCAGGGGCTGGGAATGCACTCCGCTCTCTTGACTGCAGAGCACAGACAGACCTTCAGAATATAGGATTTCATGTTGCTATTTAATAATTTGACATGCTTTTTATCTGTAAAGGAAGATCTTCGGGTCGCTGTCCTGTGAATTTCAAATCTGCACTACTTTAAAAGGGAACTTTCACCTGTGAACTTTCACAGGGGCCCTGTAAACAATGGATGACCTTGTTAATGCAGGATGAGCCAAAGGTCTGAATTAGCCTTGAAAACACAGGGGACACTTATACAATACTGCACTCCTGAGAAGGTGTGTTACTGGCTCAGTTGTATACATTATATCAGTTGGTCTTTTTTTTCTCAAATTAATTGTTTTATCAGGAAAATCCCTTATATCCCACCCTGCATTGGCCCCAGTCCTAAATGCTGCTCCTTTCCTTGCCAAGGAAATATCTCCCTTGTGTTTCTTTGCCATCTTCTGTTTTGGTGGTCCAGTAAAGAAGATCAGTAGCTCTGCCAGAAAGTGAACAGAACTTGTCAGTTTAAAGTCTGTTTTCATCAGAGCAACTTGTTCACACGTGTCTCATAAGATAAAGGGCCTGGCTCTAACCCTTTATCTCTTTTAGGCAGGAATTGGATTTTACCTATAAGGCACATTGTACCAGGGGAATACTGATTTGTAGGCTCATTTCAGTGCTGCCCATCCGTGAAGGCTCTGGGCCTTAGGCTTTAAGTGGACTTCTTTGCTGAACAGTGAATATAAACGAGTAAAAGGCAACTAGTAGCCTTGGTGCTCTCCTGCTGCCTGCTGCAAGGTCTCAGAACTACTTCGTTAAAGGAGTTTATAATTAAAAGGAGCAGAACTGTTAGGAATAAACTCCCCATTGGACGGGGAGAAAAGAATGTGTTGGGAATCTGAGTGAGTGTTTGCTTGAACGTGGACTGGTCAAGTTCACAACATCGGTACACACAGGAATTTGCTGGAGGGCGAACAGGAACCTAACAAGCAAAATGCAGAAAACAAGACATTGGACTTTTTGCCATTTTCTTTATCTTCAGTATTAATGTTGTGTTTACATGGGAGGAAGAGATGAGGTGCACTATCCCTTTCAGGGCTATTTGTAATTTCTGTTGCAATGTTAATAGAGAAAGCAGAAACAACTCAGTGAGAAATGTGTCTGTCTCCCTGCCCCCAACCCCAAACAACCACATGTACCAATACCACTGCCTGAGCTGGGAAATGGATCCATATTGCGTTCTGCTCACGTTTTTCCATTTTGCTTTTCAGCCACTGGACCTTCTACTTTCCTCCCCACCTCATCCCTCTAGAGCTTGGTTTTATTTCTAACCTGACATTTTGTGAGAGATACGGGGGAAACCACGCAGTTAAACCAGACATTTAAACTACAAATATCAGTTCATCATTCTGTGTATATATAAGAAAAGCCAAAAAAGGCAATGTCTTTGACAAGAAATAAAAAGGGGCGGGAGGCTCTGTGTAGTTTTCACTTTTTCCCCTGGGAGTGTTGGCTGCATACGAATATATCTCTGCATAATTTTCCAAAGAGCTTTTTTCTCTGTTCTTAATGGCTTTATGTAAAGATTTACATAAAAAACTGGAGAGAGCTGGGAAGAAGTGATATAAGTGCTCAGTGCTGGCCAAGATACGTTCTTTTAAAAACATCAAAGTCTTAACTCCCCAAGTCCTGTATTACAATTAAATGCAGAAGTCATTGTACTGATTGAGAATGAGAAGAACCCTGCAGCACAGGGACTGTTGATTAGCCAGTGTGCAGAAAGATCGCAAAAGCTGATCTAAGAGAGTTTACCATTCATTGTACCTACAAGAAATCTCCAGTCAGAGCTTCACTGTGGCCACCATTATGTTCCATATGCATTCCAGATGTACATTTCTCCTTGGCTTAACAACATTGCCCAAGGGTAGGCTGGACTGCCCTACAGCAGCATAACCATTATTTGGCTGTTCCATTATAAGCATTCTTCTCATTATTCTCTTCTCAGTGGTGAAGGATGGGGGAGCAAGGAGGTAATGATTTGCTACTTGCCTGTAGGTTGAGTCTTGGGACCTCCTGGGTAGGCTTAGGTGTGCTGGCTGGTGTAACCAGCTCAGATTGGTAGTAGGTACAAAGAGTCCCTTCTTTTTTTGTTCTCATAGACACTGTACTGACTTGTATCTGTCATGTCACATTTGTTTCTGTGCTTCATAATTTGAGAGGTATGGGTCTTGGGGGTTTTTAGCACATTTCAAACAATTTTCCTGATGGCAAGTTAGGATTACATATCTGTCTGTAACTGACAGGGCTCCTCCAACACCATGAAAAGATCCACCACCAACAACAAAAAAAAAATCCCAACTCAGTTATAACACTGGCTGGCTTCCAGTCCTCTGCTGTAGTAAGTATTTGCTAGGAACTTTGTTACTTAAGTCTCAGTTTTCTCCTGAAATCTTCCAGAAGTAGCAGATAAACCTGGTAACGTAATGCCTTTGATTTATTGATTTCTTCCAGCAACTTCTCTCTTGAGTCTTCAATCTATGACCTCTCCTTATCTTTGATATTTGGAAAGTGTGAGTCTCTCGTTTAGATACCACTCCAGCACCCTCTCAGTGAAGACTGATGCAAATAAATCATTTAGATTCTTGGCAATGTCTTTATTGTCTTTAATTGTTTCTTCTACTTGTTTGGGGTGGCCTGCCCATTATCTCCACTTTCTGCTTTTGGTGTACTGAGCAAATGTTCATTTTCAGTTTTAACTTCCTACTGTTTGCTCTTCAGATCCCCTCTTAGCTTTCTCAAACTTCATCTTAACTGTAACATACTTTCCTTTCAGCTTTACACAGTTTTATTTCCATTCTCTGAAAGTTTCCTATTTGGCCTGAATAACTTCTAAAATTACCTATTTGGTCATATCAACATTTCCTTGTCATTGTCTTCCATTCATCCAAGGGGTACCATACTCCATGGCTGTCTTATCAGAGCCCTTTCTATTTTAATCTGAGGATTTCAGCTTTTCTAGTCCGTTTTTTTAGAGCCATTGATTCTTTAAAAAGAAAATGATGTTTTTGTTTTTAAGTTTACCTTGAATGTCACCCTAACTAGGTTTTGAGGGTATTTTCCTCTTTCACCTTCCTAAATGTGAAATTTTTCTAATTTCCTAATTAGGGGATCAGAAATAAAGTATTACAGAAATTGGGCTCTGTATCTCCCTTCTGTATCTCCCTTTTCCCTCTCCACTACAAAACATTGACATTTAGGAGTCATTGTAAACTTTTCAAGTCCCAAAGCCAGAACTGGGCATTTTCCAGCACCTTTTACATCCCACCACTATCAGACATAATTACTATGCCAAATAATCACCTACTGCCTGGCACCTAGTCCTCTGAGTTTTGTTTTCATGCTTCTTCCTGTGATGTAACAGGCTCTGCAAGCGCAAGGTTTGGATGAAACACTTAATTGATACCTTATCATACCCCTCTGATATGTTTCCATGATTTTTCTCTGTTGTCACAGTAGATATATCTATGTATAGAGATATATATACACACATCTTCAAAAGTTTGGCTGTAGTTTCCATCACATCACTTTCTCTCAAAGGATCATCTACCATTTGCCTACATAGAAAATGTCTCTGTTTGTCTGGGATAGGTCTTAGTATCTATCAGGTTTTTTCCCAAGACCCAGCTGTAGTAATTCCTTCCAGCCTTGCTAGTTTTCCTATGTAAACAATCTGGTCCCACTTCATAATTTGATATTTTTATTTTTTCTGTTTGTAATCATTATCCTGGATGCCATGGCATAAAGGAATCAGCAGCTGTACCTGCAGTTCCATCACCTTAGTTAGACTGAATCTGACATATGCTCCCATTACTCCTAAAGTACTGATTTTTTACCTGGTTGGCTTCATGTGGTTTGTTGGTAAATTGTAAGCTGCATTTTTCTTTTACTGCAACAAGCAGAGGCACTTTGTAGTGTTATTTGCAGTAGCTGTGGCAGCAGAGTAAGCCCTGTGTTAGAGGGAAAAGCACAAAAACCTCATCAAAGCTGTAGCTGCTGTTTCTCTCCACAGGGGAAAATAAGGCCCTAGCACAGCTGAACAGTTTTATAAATGCCCTGCACAAAGCACATTGCACATCATTTTCTGGTAGGTATAATCATACATCGTCCAATTAAATATGAAAAATACATTTTTAATGTTCTCATTTTTATGTGCAGCTCTACCCAGAAGATAATGCATTTCCTTCTCTGTCTTGCCAGTTTCCCCCATTACTCCAGCCTGCCTAATAGCCCCATCTGTTTTAGCTGAGAAAGATTAATGGCCAGAAGCACTGGGAGTCCTGGCAAATCAGCAGAGATATTACTCTTAGGCATTGCTCAGGACATTCCCTCCTGCTCTGCCAGATACTGTATGGGTGTTCCTCAGGTTTCAGGGCAGCAGCAGCAGAACACAGCAAGCTCAGCAAGTGGGGTGAGTGTCATTATTTATGAACTTCAACCAGGTCTAACACTTTCAGTGGTGGGAGTGCTAGAAAGAGAATGTATCATTGTTAGCTCAAAACATATTTCAATATTAGGGGAAAAAAAAGCAGCTAAGTTTTTGCAACTCCACTAGGTGAAACTAGAACAAATAAGTCGCTAGTAGAAAATGCCAGCCAATAATCAGGTATTTCCACTGCAGCACTGAAAATGTAGAAGCATTGATAGCTCAATGAAATAATTTTTACATCTGAGGATTAGTAATTAATAATGTATATTTAGATGGTGTGTTTACATCCAAACACTTAGGTGTATTGTGGATTATTTGAAGATTGTATATTGTTTCACAATATGAAATTGGAAAAGCTGCTGGCTGTGCACAGCACATAATTGCTCAGGAAATGCTCACAAACCTGGATTTAGAAAAATCTTGCTTTTATAAGAGTTTGGTTTTATGAATAGTTATACACTCCCAAAACAGAACATAAAGTCCTGGAAAATTTCAAAAGGAGTTGTGTATGTGTTAGTTGGCTGGAATATTTTCCTCTTACCCTTACTTGGGATTTGGGGTTTGTTTACAGAGAAGAATTATGATGTTGAGTTGAAAAAAATAGTCTGGGAATTAGAAAGCCAGCCAAATATTTATTTATGTGGTCATTCATATGAACATATTTGTTCAGACGTGTTAGTGGCTACTCCAGTGGAAGTGTTAGGTCACTGAAAGTGTCAGGATGCAAACAATCTGAACTCAGGCTTAGAGTTTGTATCTGGTCAGTCATTGTGTGTGGCTTCTCCTCATATGGTAAGAGCAGCTTGCTGACTTCTAGCACATTACTATTTCTGTAGGGTTAAAATGTCTTAAATCTCTGCAGCATGTATTTGTGGAAGTCACTGCACAGGTAGGAAAGGCTGCATTTGAGAGCTCCATGGTCCACTGCCACAAGACACAAAATTTCATTCCCAAAGAAACAGTTCTGACCTGAGGGTAATTCTCTAGCCAGGGATTTAGACACCCTTACCAGGTATGTTCAAGAAGAGGTCCCTAAACATATTAGGCCAGGTAATTCAAGCCAAGCTTAGCCTATTTCTGAGTATTATGGCAACATAATTGAGACTCAGTGGAGGTGTGAATTTTCAGCATTAACAATTACATCACAACTCTTGTGATAAGGCTGCAAATTCAATCACATGAAAGTTAGAAGATCTGAATTTTCAAATTGGTGGTGGTGTTGGTGATTTGCTCACAAAACTTGTATCTGTCCCCTCTCACATATATAGTAGGATGTAGTCTGTGCACAATTCTTCATTCAGGTTTTTTTGAGGGAGTTATCTTTCTTTCTTTGCAGAGAATGCATAATATTTGGGCAAATGAAGCAGCTGGGTGTATGATACTCCTTTTTACTTCTTTCATTGAGGTTTTCATAATGTGATAGCAGTCTTGATTTTGAGCAAAGACAGACTTTTTTTCTTTCCCCAAAGGATAGATATAAACTGATTTAGGAAAATCAATTATCCCCCATGCTCTCAGAGCAGAACACCTGCAGTTCTGTTCTGCAGGCTTTTCTCATGTGGAGGGGATCCTATGAAGCTGATGGAAATCACACATTCAGAGGCCTTGTAGCACTCATCCACAGGCTACAAATCCTAACAGCTGAACTTGCAAGAGTGATGAATCCCAGCTCTGTCCAAGCATGTCTGCTCCATCACTGGGACCACTCTGAGGACTATGAGCAGTCTGTCAGGTAAGCAAAGAAATACGAAGTAAATAATTGCAGGTGGGGATATGATGGGTTTGTTTTGTTTTAAGTAGCCAGATTTTCAGAGGAATGAGGAAGACCTAAGCATTTTGAAGTCCCAGAAGATCTGTTCATAGGATGTGTGGGCTGGACTAACCCCATTCTGGATTTGTGGCATTTCTTAACAAACACTGGCCAATGCATCCCGCCTTCAGTAAATTCTATGGATTGTAAAATTCTTGAAAGCACTGACAGTAACCATTCACAGCTCAAAGATACTTAATTTGTTCCAAATCTTTGGATTCCCACACTGATCCTTTGGTGCCTTTAAGAAAAAGGAAAAAAAGAATAAAGATAATAGAAGCTTGATAACAGTAGGAATCTCAACTATCCAGCCGTTCTTAAATTGTCAGCACTGAGGTCAATGGTTGGGGCAAATCTAGAGTTAGTGAGGTTCATAGAATTTCTTCTTTTGATCTGCCTGTGGAACTCTTGTTCCAACAGTGCTCTCCAGGGACACTATAAGGGAAGGAAGAGCTGTCCAATGCAGATTGATCCGTGAACTCTTCATGCAGTCAGCCCTCACCATCAGCAGCAGGAAGGAAGGGGCACCACCACCTGGCACTGTTTGTAGATGGCAAGAGTGAGTTCGGTATGAAATCTCTTATTCTGATGACAGATTTCACCAAGCTCTTCTGCATTTTTCATGTACACTTGCTGTGAGTGACAGAGGCGCCTTGGGGTGAGGAAAAGATGGGACTCAGCAGTTTGCTGGTCCAGAATGAGAACAAGAGATGTGTGTATTTTCCCTTGACACCTTGCTCAGTGTTTATTAATTATATTAGCACCAATTAATCCAGCTGACCTGAGACTCAGTGTTCAGGCCAGGCAGTAAGCTTCTGCTCTGTTGACAAGAGAATAGATAAGCAAAATTATGTTTTCCGTCCATACCATCAATGAATATTTCCATACAGGTTCAAATGGCTCACAGAGAGTTTACATATTGTATTTTTCACTGTTAAGTCTTCGTCAAAGAACAGCAAAGGCAATTTAAAAAAATAAAAAAGCTATTGAGTACTGTAAAGACCCACAAGGACTGACATTCACAGAGTCATCAATATAAAATATCCACCAAGTTAACCTTCCAGCTTCTGTCATAAATGCAGAGAATACAGGCACTATCATCATCTTTCTCTTTACACTTCATAGAGCAAAAAAAAATACATGTATTAAAAAACAACTCTGAATCACATCACCCAAGACACAAATATTTTTTAAATTTTAGTGCTTTCATTTCCATTTTCATATGTGAAATTAAAAGTTTGCAAAATATTTTTATTCATGTTATTCAATTTAGATATTTATATTCAAAGTTGAACATGAGCCAGCAGTGCCCTGGCAGCCAGGAGGGCCAACCCTGTCCTAGGGGGCATCAGG